CATGTATTTCCTCTTGAGAAAGAAATCACGAGCATTTCACACCAATAAATACCCTTTGGCTTTTTGGGGCAGCAGAATGGAGGGAGGGAAGTGTTTTTATTAGATTAATATTTGCATTCGATACACTGAATCTTCCTTTAGAGGTAAGACTTTAATAGTGACACTGTAAATATTTGGTTTATTTGGCACTACTGTTAAGTTCTGCTTTTACACAAAGCTCTTTGCTTATTACAAAGCAAAAGAAAAACTGTAGTTTCTTGTATGATTTTTTTATTCAGCCTCTCCTTAACTAAACTGCCAAAAATTAAAGTGCAATATTGTATATTTTTAAGAAATTTAAAATAGAACATTGATGTTTCTCAAATCGCAAGAAATACAGATCTTATATAGAATAATAAAGCTAGCAAAAAGATCAGTGATCATCTAATGTCTGTCGTTATTTTACTTAAAATTGGTGTTGGTTACAGTAGTCGTTACGAAATGGAATTATATGTGTGAAGGAGAAAAGTAAAATTTTAACTCAGTATTTGGACAAACATAAAAATTACTAGATTAATCCATATCCCAAGGTGATTGTTCATATGAAACCCTAAAGTGTACATAAATGAGTTTCAGGTGGCTTGAATACCTTGAAATGATAATGCCAAGTTTTGTGTGTGAATGAAATCGACTCAGGGCAAGGAGTGCTACATAGCTTTGTTCAGATGCTCAAAAGGATTCACTGCTATAAAAATAAATTGGCTTTCTTCTCTGCCACTTTTGTTCTCCGTTACTCACCTAATATTAAGAGAAGCTGCTCTCTTAACTTCCCTGAAAGCTTTCCAATTGGAGATTTATATCATCTATTTAGCATTTTTGGTGTCTTACCAATATTGTATAATCACCCATTTGTAATCCTTTAAAGATATTCCTTAGTAGTCAAAAGGACTTCTACACACAAAAAGTATTTCTCATTTTATCATTTCTTAATGTTATACCTATTTTTACAGAGGTAATTAAGTCAGAAAGAAATATACCTGTCTCAAAATGTAACTTTTTCATGATTTACCTACAGTCAAGATCGAGAACAATTTAGAGCAATATTACACAAAGAAAAAAGCCAATAGAGAAGTATAAGTTCAGACTAACATTTTAGCAGTGAAATAGCCAATCAAAAGGTCCTACAAATAAAAAGTTATTTTTACATATTGCACTGAAAATGATAGATCATCATATGAAGCTTACAGGAATAGTGTAAAAAGAGGAATTACATCGTTCTACATAACCCCACTTACTGGAAGAACCAGACACAGTTGGTGATTTTACAAATCTTGCATTCAAACATGACTTGGAGGTTTTTACTGTAAATTATTTTTTTGCAGGAATATATATCTTAGATTCATTTTTTTTCTAATTTAATCATTTTCACTTTATTAGGGAGCAGAGATTTCCTCTTCAATGGGTAGTTAAATCTTTGTGAGAGTCTAACAATGAGTTGTCAATATTTAAATATTTTTATGTTTTATTACTTATGGAATCCAGAAGGCTTAGCTACAGGAAAACAGACCCACTCAAATGGTCAGATTTGATCTCAGTGTGTTGGGTTTTTCTCAGTTGTTTCCAGGTGGTAGTTAATAGCCTTGCTGTGTTGAATTTTTCTCTTCGCCTCAATGATAGTAATGCAACAGTTACGGCTTACTTTATTAATGATACATTGATGTTGAACACTAACGCTTAATTTACATTAGCAAGTATCCCTTAGTGATATGCTTCAATTAGATACCAAAAATTGGCAAGCTGCCCTTGTTTGCAGACGACATGAATATGTAGAATATCCAGTAGAAATTTTTAAAGCTCTGGAACCAATAAGTGATTATAGCACTGTTGCATGATACAAGGTTAATACACACAAAAGTCAGTCAAGTCACTCTTACATACCAGCAATAAACAAGTGAAATTTGAAATTAAAAACAATATATTTTACATTAGCATTCCACCCCTCTCCTCTGCCCCCCCCCAAAAAAAAAAACTTAGGTAGAAATTCTAACAAAACATGTACAAGGATCTATATGAGGAAAACTACAGATTTGCCTATTCTGGGCATTTCATATGAACAGAATCATACAATATTTGGCCTTTTGTGTCTGGCTTCTTGCCCTCTGTGTAGTGTTTTAAAGATTCATCTATGTTGTAGCATGTATTAGCACTTCATTTCTTATGGCCAAATAACATTCCTTTGTATGGCTATACCACATTTTATTCATTTATCAGTTGTTTTCACTTTCGGCTATTATGAACAATACTATGAACATTCATGTATAAATTTTTGTGTGAACATATGTTTCATATTCTCTCATATCTATATAACGCATAATATGTGGCTTGGGTTTGTTGGGTCACGTAATTAACTATGTTTAGTCCTTTAAGGTAGTTCCAGAACTTTTTCCAAATTGACACCATTTTGCATTCCTACCAGGGAAGTGTTTAGTTTTCACGGGTACCCTTAGCCTGTGACAACCACAAAAACCAGAGGTTTTTGTCTCTCTCAGCTTTGCTCTGCAGAAAGGAACAGGAGCGACTCACGTGGATGGTGCTCCTGGGCCTAGTTGCCCTGGTGACTGGGAGGTGCGGGGTCCCGACAGCCCCCGCGCCGCCAACGGCCTGACGGCGCGCGCATGCGCGCGAGGGTCTACCTGGCTCCGACGGGCGCCCGGCTGGTGGATTTGGTGGGTGCAGAAGTGGGTGTAACGCACTGCTGGGCTGGGCCCGCTGTGCCAGACGTCGGCGCTGTGGGTACGAGGGGTGCTGGATCCCGGGGGGGGGGGGTTGAGGCCCGGTTCGCTTCAGCCGCGTTGGTTGTGAGGTGTTTTCCTGCTGACGCGGCAATAAGCGAAGACGCGACCGCGCGCCGGTTCCGAGTGAACCCAACACTCGGGTTCTTTCGACTGTGGGGAGACGGGCAGAATGCCCTCCCCGTTCGCTTATTTAAAGCCTGCCACCGGCGTCCGTGTCTTTCCCGCCACTTTCCCCTTCCGTGAAAATGCAGCCGCGCGCAGGACCTCCGCTTTACCGCAAGTGATGCCCAGGGTTTGATCCCCTCCTTTGAGCTACCGGACTCCATCCAGGCCCTGGTGCACGTCGCCCCTGGGCTCGTGTCTGTCTGGGTGTCGAGAGCCTGTCAGAGTCCGACCATCTCACGTGAACTCTGCATCACGTCCCACGCTTCTCCGGGCTTCCATGTTTTGCCGGTAGAGCAGCAGCATCCACCCAACACCCACTGTGAAAACTTAACAGGCTGGTGGTCACCAGGTCCAGTGTGAAATCTTTCAAAGTCTAGAACCCACCTCCTCCATTCCGTTTCGTTCCCAATGCCCTAGACGGGGCCATCTTTCTCGTAGGACTATTTCGGTAGCGAGAGACAGCTTCCTCCGCCCCTTCCCGTTTCCCACACGAGTGGCAGGCATTGATTTCCAAAATAGTGATCTGACCGCTACTCCCTTGTGAAAATAAACATGTGATGGCTTCCCTTTGCCTGTAGAATGATCATGAACTTCAACAGCTTTCGTCACCTGGTTGAGCCTCCTCCAATCGTTTCATTACCAATAGCCTCCCTTTCGTTCAGCCTCAGAAACATGTAACGTTCTAACGAAGCACCGATGTCATGTCCTGAACACAACATACACTTGATTGTGCGTTCCTATGGCCACCGAGGAATACACGCTGAAGTGTCCCCCTATACGCTGGTGTAAAGGACAGTCTCAATTGCTTTTCTTTGGAAAGTGGCCTGAACGGATTCCACAGTGCAGGTCTGAATGCTGGGGGGAAGGGGGGTGACCTTTGGAAAACGTGCTCTACCTCCACCTCCCCTCCAGGTAGTGAAATCTTACTCATCAGTCAAATGTCACCTTTAAAGTACAATTTCATTGCTGCCTCTCTATGAACCCACCGTGTTAAATCAAAATGTCCTAAAACTATAGAAAATATGATGACCCCCTACACAAGGATGACCCCAACTTCTGTGAACTACTTCATATATGTTGTCCCTTCCATGCTCCCTAGTACACTAATAATTCTTTTATAACACATAAGTTGTAATTTTTTACATATCTGTCACCCCTCACTGTACTTTTTCTGAACAATAGGAACCATATGTTATTCATCGGTATCCCCAGTGCCTAGGACAGTCTAGACGGTATCCAATAAATAGTAAATGCTCAATAAATATTTGATAATGAATAAATGTGATAGTCATTATTTCTGACATCTCTAAATTGGCAACTCCCTGAAGACAGGATCCAATCTTAATCATTTTATCCCTACCACTTAGTACAATTATTGGTATATATTGTTTCCAATTAGCATTTGCTGTCTTTAAATGAATTTTACATATTCCAGTCTCTACTATGGTTTAGTGATTTATGTTGCTCACTGATAAAAGACTTAAAGCCAGAAGAGGTCTTATCTAATACAACTCTTTTATTTCCTACAGATGAAGATACTCAACCAAGGGAGTTCAAGTAATTTCCCAATAGTAGCTAGGAAATGCTTGGTCTAGAACCAAGTTCTCAGATTTCTTAGGTTGATTACACTTTGTAACTCAGACTGAATTAATGAAACAACCTTTACCACTTTTATTTTTTTAAGAATGCCTGCAATGGGACCTCATCATCCAATATTTATTTCAACCAGCATTTTGGGTTTTTTTTTTAATGCCTACTTTGTAAAGGGACATTTGAGGCTCCTGTTCTTAAGTTTGCAATCTTGTGGAGAATCTCATAGCCTAGCATTGATGAAAATGTTGTTTGGCAAAAGGAAACAAAGTTTTGTTTCTCTGGATAGGAATTTCTTAAAGTTGCAAATTTTACTTTGTTTTATTTGACTCAATTTTAAGTTTCATAGTATGTAAATTTTAATTTATTTCTAGGTGTTCTCATCTTTTCTATGAGTTTCAACATCTACTTTTTACCAGCATTTGTGATTTAATCAGTTACTAATAGAGAAGAATCATTAACTAGGACAAAATGTCAACTCTAAAAATGAAAGAGGCAGCCCTTGTCTATCTTGACAGAGGTGGAGGGCTCCAAAAGTTTATAAATGATTGCAAGTACTACAATGGTATGTTCAGCAAAGGTGACTTTATTTTAGAAACTTTAAAATAAATTCTGACATATAACTACCATCATTTTTATATTTGTGTATTTTTACAGATTCAAAACAAAGTTATGCTGTCTATCGATTCAATGTTTTAATAAATCCCTCTGATGTTGTTGAATTAGATGCTGAACTTGGAAATCACATTTTACACCAGCCTTTAAAAGCTGCTCAAATTTTTCAATCGGTAAGTTAAAGAAAGAAATAATTTTATGCCACATGAAATTTTTGGTAACTTTTTTGTTTGTTTGAAATCACAGGTCTGTTTTATTGCTGTTAAGACTCTATCATTAATTGGACAATTACAGACTGAAACTCAAGTAAGTTTTAGTTAAATTTGACGAAGAAAACAAAGGTACAATACTTTTAAAATAGCTTGTATATAAATATTTTTATATTCTCTATTAAAAAGATTACATGTTTTTTAAAGTTCAATGGAATATTTTACATACACATCTTTATTTCCTGTATTATCATTTATAACATTAAACATTTTTAAAATAAAACATTTCAAACAGATCCCAAAATAGAATAATCAATGAACTTCCATATATCTATCACTCATGTTTAAAGATTAAAATATTTTGCCATACCTGTGTCATCAATTTTTTTCTGAAATACTTTAAAGCAAATTCTGGACATTCTGTTATTTTACCCCTACATACTTCAATATCGACCTTTAAAAATTGTGGATATTTTTCTTATATAATCCCAATACCATTATCACCTCTCACAAAAATTAAAGTAATTCTTTGGTATTAAAATATTCGGTCCATCTTTAAATTTACCCATTTGGGGCCTCAAGAATGTCTCAGAGTTGATTTGTTCAAATCAGGATCAAAACAAGGTCTACATATTACAATTGGTTCTTATAGCTCATTAGAAGTCTCCTTTAATCTAGAGCTATTTTCGCCCCCTTCCTTTTTACACCAATGAGTTTTTTAAGGAAACTAGTTAATTGTCTGATAAAATGTCTCAAAATCTGGATTTGTCTGATTATGTTCTTGTGGTATTTAACTTACTCTATCTATCCTATATTTCTGGGAAACAGAAATTGGCTCTAAATACTTGCCTAGATTCAGATTCAACTCATTTTGACAAGAATGCATCATAGTTTCATGTATTTCATATTGCACTACATTAGGAGAACTATACTATCTGTTGTCCCAATTTTAGCAATGCTACAATTGATCTGTGGGTTCAGGTGATGTCAGCTGATCCTTCCAATAATACAGTCTCCCATCAGCTTTCACCTAATGGTTTTTGCAGTCATTGATGATCATTGCATGGAATCTATTATTTCATAAGGAGTTGAAAAATTGTGATTTTTCTAATTTTAATTTTTAATTATTTTATGAATTTATTAGCTGGAATTATTCTTTAAAGAAAGTTTTCTTTCATTGACTATCTGGTTACCCCGAGATACAGTTTGTACAGGAAAGGCAGAATAAGTGTTTGATTACTTCCATTTATAAATTTTCAGAGATTAATGAGTTGAAATCTAGCAGCCTCCAATGATGACCAATAATTTTTTTGGGTTTTTGTTTTTCCTTTTTTTAAATTATGAGGAACTCATGAATTTTTACATATATCTGAGATACTTCAATAACTCTTTGTCATTCTTTTTTATGCTTATATTATCCTACTTTTGGTCATTGGGAGTTCCTTAAAGTTTGCTCTTGTTTCCTTTTGACACATCCAGTTAGTTTTTTGCAACTCCCTTGGTTTCTGGCACAGGAGGTGCACCAGGTCCATCTGGTATATTTTTTGCCCCAGACTTGGAATCAGCCAGTTCCCCTGAAGAGCCCTGGTTCCGTTTACTGAGAAATTATAGTTAGAGATCACAATCTGGGCAGAAGTGTTCGTCACTATTGAATTTTGTCATTGTTTTATAAGTCTTTTCAGTGGCTTTTGCCAGGAAATGCATATTTGTAAGGAAAAATTATGAGGGTCATAATGATATTTTCAATTAAAATACAAAATTATAAGGATTTTGCATCTTTAATTTTATATTTAAATATCTTTTTCTTGTGCTTAAAATTTTGGTTCTACATTAACAAATCATTTACTTGATTTTTACCCTACAAATATATATTGTAAGTCCAATTGGATCTGCAGTCTTTATTAATACCATTTTTATGTCCTTATTAGATTAATATAGTGCTGAAGTTAACACATTTACCTCCTCTGCCAAGTTATAGTCTTGATTTTTGTGAGTTTCCACTTGATTATACATCTCAAAGATTTTATATGCTGCAAGGAATTGTGATTGCAATGACAACTGTAACCAAGTATACACAAGGTGCAAGATTTCTTTGTTCAGATGAAGCATGCCCTCTTTCAAAAGGTAAATATTAGAATGTAAAATCAAACCATGAAGCAATTTTTTGCTTAATCCTAAATCATGTTTTCAATTCGTTATAAAATATTCACAGAGTAGAAAGAATGCAAGAAAATTTGGTGTCTCCCAATGTTTATAAGTTTACTTTGCATAATCTTGAAATGCATTCTTTTTTCTCCCTCCTCTAGGACCAACTTAACAGGTGCTCTTGTTTTGCTAAAGTACTTGTTCTCACATTGCTTCATGAGTGTTTGTTCATGCTGTTCTCACTCCATGTAATATCCTCTTCCAACCCTTCCGCATAACTTCAGTTAAGGACGTTTTTTTCCCATTCATCCCACTTCTCATTGGGTTGGATGCCCTTCCTCTCTTCTCTGTGAACACTGTAAATGAAGACTTCATGTTGAAATTATCTGCTTCATATTGCAGCCTATTGAAACTGTGTTTAAGTATCCATATCACCAGAGCCCTAGCCCAGCGTTTGGCAAAAAACAGCTGTGTAATAAATGTTAATTGAACTGCTCTGAACCCCCACACAAAACTGAATTAATTATACTTTGAATTAGATTAATTTTAAAGGACTGAAAATGGATTGCTAAATCCAAAGGCGAATTTAGCTTCCCTCTGTTTTCTTTCTTTCTTTTAGGATTTCAGTATATAAGAGTGCATGTGCCAGGTGCTACAGAATCCGCAACAGTAAGAAATGACTTTTTGTGTAATATGTGTTCATCTTCACTTCAAGAAGACAGAAAATTTAGAGTACTTGGTGGTAAAAATGCATTTACATTTTGTAATTACAATTTTTAAAATACTGTATGATATTTTAATGTGGAAATTAAATTGAATATATATTCTAATACCATTTGTTTTTGCTCTTTGCCTTAAGATAAACAGATAGTTGAAATAATTACTGCAAAGGCACTTCGTGCTTTTCAAGGATATTCTAACAACCAGCCATTTAGGTTTCAGTCTCTTACAATTTTCCTAAGAGGTAAGCTCTGTTTGAACTAAAAGCAAATTGCTATAAAATATATAAAATATGTAGTTGACTTCTTTATGCTTTTATATTATAAATGGTACTTCTATACAGTAGTCCCCCCTTATCCGTGGTTTGGCTTTCTGTGGTTTCAGTTACCCCTGGTCCACCATGGTCTGAAAATATTAAGTGGAAAATTCCAGAAATCAACAATTCATAAGTTTTAAATTGCACACTGTTCTGAGTAACATGATGAATTCTCATGGTGTCTTGCTTTGTCCTGCCTGGGACATGAATTACCCCTCTGTCCAGCGCCTCCACATTGTTTATGTTCCCTGCCTGTTAGTCACTTATAGTTGTATTGGTTATCACTATGGTGATATTGCAGTGCTTGGGTTCATGTAACCCGTATTTTACTTAGTGTCACATTCATATAACTTTTACTACAGTATATTGTTATAATTGTTCATTTTAATATTGGTTGTTAATTTTTACTGTGACTGATTTATAAATTAAACTTATTTATAGGTATGTATGTGTAGGAAAAAAATAGTGTATATAGACTTTGGTACCATCCGTACTTTCAGGCATCCAGTGGGGATTTTGGTACATATCCCCTGCAGACAAGAAGGGACTACTGTAGCTTAAGAACCATATGTCTTCTTATTTTCAGTGTTTTAACCCTCCATCGGGCGCAACTGATCTCACAGATTCACTGCACACAAATTTTCAAATATGAAATACGTCTTTACTAAGTCACAAACATGACTGGCGATAGGTTACGGTAGAGGGGGAAAATACGGAAGCGATGAGTCACAATACTTAAGTTAATTGTTAGATATTTGAAAATGTGTGTGCAATGAATCTGTGAGATCAGTTGCGCCCGACAGAGGGTTAAAGAGTCTCATTTAGCTAATGTATCAATTATTCAGTCATACAACATTCATTTAAAAAGCTGTTAACATCTACTATGTTCCAAGAACTATGCTCGGTCTCAGGGTCACAGTTATTTATAGTAATGATCTCCCATTATTCTATGTGTGTGTGTGTTATGCAAGTATTGGAGTTATTGTTTTAGCGTATAAGTTTCATGCAGGTAGGGAATTGGGTTTTTTATCTCACATGGTAAAAACTTAATAAATATTTGTTAAATAAATGAATGAGTAGGGTCAAGACCTGTGAGTAGACAGAGTCTGCCATGAGGGAGGAAATTATCATTATCAATCACCCAGGGAAAAGCTGAGTCTTCTTTGAGAAGCCAGAACTGTGAAAATGAGGATGTGGCTCAGCCTCTTTTCTTGGGCTAAAATCGAAGGAATTAAACTGTTCAGAAAGAGAGATCTTGGATGTCAACTAGATATAGGCAACTTAAGAGTTAGGAAAGTAGAGACTCAAACAAGAACTCTTTTCTTGGTGGCCTGACAAGGATGAGGCAGGCATGTAAGCCCAGATGTAGGTAATTTTTATATAGTCAATTGCTATGTGCCAGGCACTCTTACATATATCCACTCGTTTAGTCACAGTGAGACTATCAAGTAGTTCTATTTTTATCTTCATTTTACAATGCAGAAACTGAGGCACAGAGAAGTTAAGTAACTTGTCAAAGGTCACTCAAGCTAGTATGTGACACAGCTGTGATTCAAATTCAGGCATTCCAGCTTCAAAATATGTGCTTTTAACTACTTAATTCTTTTATACACTATATACAAACCATACATTACAGTATAGAAATTTAAGTGGCTATCCAACTTATATTTTATTAGAAAACCCTTTCTTCAAATAAACTTATGTGGAACCCAAATAAAAATTTAAAAATTAAACAAATAAAACTAGGCCTTTTGGGGTTGGCATCAGAAGAGACACCCAGATTTCCCAGTCTCCTTGCCTTCCTCCCACCTTTCCTTGACCTCAGGACACATCCACCAAACTATTAAGATTCCACTGCATAGTTGAAAAGCTATTCTTTTGTTTCCCCCTTGTAATTGATTCTGTATCATTTACTTGGTATTTTTTGTTATTGTTGTTGGTTTGGTTGGTTGGTATTGGGATTTTATTTTTTGAATTCTTGATTCTGATTCTTCCCTTCCAGATCTACAGGGTATCCAATATGCTGTCTGGAGCTTAAAAAAAAAAGAAAGAAAAAGAGAAACAGAAGAATAAAAAGTGAAGATCACTGTTTGATCTTCTTCACAAAGAGTAGTTAGTTGATCCTGTTCCTCCTTGTGAGGTTTTCTTTCATAGCTTTACAACCAACCAACTTCTAATTGTGTAATGGAGGATCAAGATTTTTAGCATATGTTTTTTTAAAATAAATTTTGAACTTGTGCAAAAGCTTTGCGCAATCTGTAGATGTAATAGAGGAATTTAGTATAATGCAAAGAGGGTAGATTTGGAGATAGGCAGACCTAGATGGGAATTTCAGTTCTGGTGCTTCCTGTTTAGCCTTGTGCAAGTCACTTAACCTCTCAGTTTCTTCTTAAGTAAAGTGGGGATAACAATATCTATCTTACAGTTTACAATTAGACAATACATAAAAGTAATTTGCCTATATTATAGGCAGTGACTAATACCTTTTAAAATTATTTTCTTCCCAAATAAAAGTATTGTTTATAAGATAATTACATTTCTTGTCATTTAATGCAAAGATGTTTCATTTTAAATAGAATGATCTTGTTTTTCCTTTTGACTATATATAGGAGACTATCTAGTTGCTACATCACGTGCTTCTTGAAGTTAATTCATCTTTGCCTATAAGAATCAAAATTTATCAGAAATATAATTGCCACAGTTTATATTATTAGTGCCACTCTATATGGAAATAATAAACAAAAGTAAATACTTTACAACTAATTTAACTACTGAATTGTTACTAGTTCTAGATCTTTGAACCATCTAATTATGTACAAGTTTAATTTAGTGAACACATATTTTTGTGTATGTTTAATAATTTTAGATGAATCAGTGAATAAAATGAATATAGGAAATGAATATAAAATTATTGGAATTCCAACCTGTGTAACAACTTCACAAACTTCTGTCTGTATAGAAGCAAATAACATCACTTTTTGCAACCCAAGAGGTAAGGAAAATGTTAGTATCATGTATTAACAAATATTTAAATTTAAAATCATGTGTTCAGGAAATAAGTATTGGCTGCATAAGTGCTGGGCACTCCTCTAAGCACTAGGGATTCAGTTGTAATCAGACAGTCAAGGTTCCTACTCTTAAATAATATGGTAGACAATCAGTAAAGCTGTAAACTAATCAGTAAGACAATTTCAGATAATAAATGCTATGAAGGAAATAAAATGGGATAATATAGAACCTTGCCCACAGGAAGGACTCCTATACTCTTTTGCCTAAACCTTATTTTTATTTTTTTAATAATTAGCAATGAGAAAACAATGATTGAGGGTATTAAGAGTTAGAGATTAGTCAAAAGATTTTTTTACCCTAACCTTTATTTTCTAGTTAAGGCAATACTAACTAACTGTTACTCAAAGAAAGAGAACACAATAAAATAACACCCCTTTTCTCATCTGAGTTCTGAGCCAAACAAGAGATATAAGACAAAAGAGAAAGGCAGATGGCGGCCAAAATATCACCGTTATTACTGATAATTTTCTTTAACAACTCTAACATAAATTAGGTATTAAGTAAACCAAAGTGAGAGTAGACCTGCTTTTTTAACTTGGCACACAAATGTCTAAACGTAGGAAAAGGCTAGTTAAGTCTTGAATAGAGCTAATTATTATTATTATTATTTTTTAGAATCCCTAGGCAACCTTCTGTAATAACAGGCCCAAGTTGAATTTAAATGCAAGTGGATTCTAGATACTTCCGCTTATCTTGTAGAGAAAGCTTCTTAAAAGAATAAAAATGTTGAAAAAGGAAAACACTAGTGGACAGTAGACATTTTAGTGATCTTTTAAATATATTCTGCTGTGAAGTGTTTCATGATTTATTGATTTGGTAGCAGAATGTGACTTATATGTAGGTGGAAAAGTGTGCTTTCTCATGATGAACACCAGAATTAGTCAGATTTAACCACCCAAATGTGGCAAGAGCTACACTAAAGTAGGCCTTTCTTGGTCCACGAGTATGGATGAGCAGAAGAAATCATTGCTGTATGATGGCAGCCCAAGAGGAAGGAGAAAGGGCCCGGGTCATACAGCATAACTATTCCTCCCGAACTGACCATCCCTTTCAGAAGTTGAACAGAGTGAGGGAGAGTGGAGATCTAGAATGTTACGGTATAGCACAGTAGAGTGTTTTCCAACTAGTAGAGTGTTTTCCACACAGTAGAGTGTTTTCCAAATAGTAGAGTATAAATCTTCCCTTTCAATAGCAACGTTCAAGTATTTCCCATTCTTCTTTTTAGCCCTCACTAAAGGTGATATTATTTGAAACACAGAAATACAGAAACAAACACTAAAATACAGGAGCCCCATGATCTGGCTTTGCTCACATAGGTCCTAAAAGGAGGAGAATGAGGGATTTGCTTGCAACACACAGCCAATGTATGTGGACACAGGAGTGACTGTTTCGTTTTCTTACATTCCCTGTGATAGAAATGAAAGATCAGAGTGACCGCCAATCATAATTTAATATCATTATAAGAATTTGAATATGGCACCATTAAAAGAATTGCAATCTGATATTTTAGGTAAATGGAATTAGACATCTGTAATGTAGTTTTCTTATATTAAAACCCTTTTTAACATGTGTTAATATTTACTTTCAGTTCCTTCGGGGATTTGTGACAATTTCAGGTGTCTCCTCTCTTTGACTTCCAGCTCATGCTGGAAGTTTGCAGCAATACTTGCCAATATCTTTGCATCACAAATTGTTCCCCCTGGGACTTACAATTTGCTCAAGCTCTGTTTGCTGATGAGTCTAGTACAGACGAGTGACCGTAACAAGGAACTGGAAGATTGCCTGGATATTTTAATTATAACAAGTGATACTCTACTTGTAGACAGGTAAAATATGTGACGTGAACTTTTTCAAATTATAAATTGGTCACAGATTTGCATAAATCCTTTCCATGAGCATCATTACAAGACAAATATTTAGAATTTATCTGGGTGGTATAAATATTTAAATAAACTTTTACCAATAAAGTTTAAAATGTGAATTGAGAAATGGGATATTTACTTTCAATATTTTGAGAATTTAACTCTTCAAAGTTTCAACCTATTTCCCCACTCAGACCTTTACAAATAAATGCATCTTTCGCATTTCCCCCATTCCCTAGTTTAGTGTTCTGCTTTTGTACTATGTTTTCATTTTAAAATACTCTCTCCTCTAAGAGCCAATAGGCCATTTTCTTATTTTCCTTTAAGATTCCATTCAGTAATACTGACTCACTACACCCAAATAAGGCTGTCAAAAGTGTCAAAATTACTGTTTGGGGAAATCACCCTAACCTTGGAATAAGCCTCTACTCAGCATTTTGGGGCTCCTCACTAGGAAATACTTCTTTTTAAAAGTTACTAAAATGTTCAAAAAAAAGCTAGGCTGTGCTTCTTATATTAGTATCTTTTATGTAATTGTAAGGCAAAAACAAATTTATAGAATGAATTTAAAATTAAAAAAATAAAATTCAAATTAACTGACTTAATTGGACAGATGGTGTTTTGCTAAAATTAAATTAAAATTAAATTGCAATGTAAATATGGTGCTAACTGCTACAGATTGCACCAATTTAATCTTCCAGTAAGAGCATGACAGTATTTGTTTCCTCACAGCCTCACCAACACTGGGTATTATCAAACTTGAAAATTTTTCCATCTGATTGGCAGAAAATGGTATTTTATTTTAATTTGCATTTCTCTAATTGGAAATAAGTTTTAGCATTATTTATAGCTTGTTAAACACTTTTATTATTTTTCTATGAAACTCCTTGACAATTGTTCACTTTTTTTTTTAGCTGAGCCATCCTGCCATCTGTTGGCAGCTCAGGGGCAGCTCAGCTCCGGCCGGGCATTGAACCGCTGTTGCTCAGACCTCAAACTATTGAGCAAGCTCTTAACCAACTGAGCCACTCGGCTGGCCCTTTGTTCACTTTTTTATTCAGTAGTTTATTTCTTATTATTTGTGATACCACATAAATTAAGGCCTTTTTCTGTTTGTTATTAACCTTTCACTTTTCCTATGGTATTCGAGGCTTATGAGAGATTTGTTTTTCTGCTTTGTTTTTTAGGTAAAATTTACATATAGTTAAATAATCAGGCCTTAAGTATACAATTCAATGAGTTTGACAAATGCATACACTTCTATAGCCATCACCACAATAAGATATAGAACAGTTCCATCGCCTCAGAAAGTTCTTTCAGTCCCTCTTCCAATCAATTGATTTTTGTACTTTGACTTTTTGTTCTGTGAGCTTGTATCAGTATTTTTAAAAGTTCCTTGACTGATTCCAATGTGTAGCCAAGTTTGAGGCCCATTGTTCTATATAACTAGGTTCTCGGCCTGACTGCACATTAGAATCACCTAGGAGAATTTTAAAATTTATACGCATATATATGATTGTGGTCTACTCCCAGAGATTCCTGGTTTGGGGTGGGGCTTAACATTGGAATTTCAAAAAAACTCCCCAGGTAATTTCAATGTGGGTTGAGAACTACTGCTCTATAGGCTTGCAAGTTTCTTTCTAAATCTCACTCCCCCATTTTATATATCTTCAGACTAACACCCAAATTCCTTGGAATGGCACATTCACTAGACATTTTATAGCATGTACGTCTCCACACTTAAGGGATGCTGCTGCTTCCTTTTTTGTCCTGTGTCCGCTTATCACAGTTGATTACACCAGTGAGCTATTATTCCTGTGGCTAAGCTAATCATATTCCTTTCTTAGAATTTAAATTTGAGAAATGAAGAGGTCGAGGCAACTGGCAAAGAGATTGGAAAGCAAAAGATTGTATCAAGGGTTACCATGATACATAGGCCGCAGGATAGTCATGATGGGTTATTGGCAAGCCTAAATGCAAAAATTCTGAATAAACAAAAGAAAGTAATCCAGAAAAGCAGGAAAGCCCAGTTCAAAAGTCCCCTCTCTGTAGCTTTCTCTGACTTCCTTACAGGAAGAAATAATACTCTCTTATGGATGTTCTCAGAACATCATTTCAGGATTTATTATTGTGTTTTAGTTTTTTGTTTATGTCTCTTTCTAGGCTATGAGTTTTCCAAGTTAAGGACCAAGTCTCGTATATGTTTTTATCGCTAGATCAAGTGCTCAATAAATATTGAAACAAATTAAATTTGATTGTGTAGCTGTTACACATCATGATTTCTGAAAACCAAATATTAAATAATAGGAAGAATAATTTATTTTTTTCCTAGGCTTTTGAATTTTAGTATAAACCTTGTGCCCCGTGGTATACGTCATCCAGTCTCTACTGAAATATTTCCTACTCTGTCCAGAAATACGTATGGAACTGGAGCAGTTAGTATTCAAGCTGGCAGTGCTTTGCTAGCTAAAGATGGCATCTGCTTTATAGGAGACTTGGCTTCACACAAAAAAGATAAACTTGAACAGCTTCAATCAGGTAAACAATATTTTTTCAAATTAATTTTCACCTGTTTAACTTATAGTCTCATCAGTGCTGAAGATTTATTAACTGTTAATTTATTAACAGTAATATACTCATTTTAGAAATTCAGAAATTATATTAAATGACATTTCTCATTTCACCTTTATAAATGAAAACAGAAGAATTGAATGGGCAAATGTACTGTTTTAGCCTTTGCTCTCAGTTGTGCTAACACATGAGTTTGTATTGGGCCAGATTTATTTCCTTTTCTTGTCTTACTGCATTAGCTAGGACTTCCAATATGATATTGAAAAGCAGTAGTGAGAAGGGACATACTTGTCTTATTCCTGATCTTAGCAGGAAATTACTTAGCAGGTGAGTTTCTCACCATTAAGTATGCTGCCTGCAGTAGGTTTTTTTGTAGATGTTCTCTTTCAAGTTGAAGGAATTCCCCTCTATTTCTAATATACTGAGATACATATATATATAAGTTTATATATATATTTATATATAATATTATATATAAATATATATATATATATATTTAATGGGTGTTTGGTTTTATCAAATGCTTTTTCTGCCCTACTGATGTGATAATGTGATTTTTCTTCTGTAGCCTGTTGGTATTATGGATTACATTAAATAATTTTCAAATGTTGAACCTATGAACCTAGTTTGCATACCTAGAAAGAAATGCCACCTGGCTGTGGTGTATAATTATTTTCATACATTATTGGACTCAATTTGCTAGTATTTGGTTAAGGATTTCTGCATCTATGTTCGCAAGAGATATTGGTCTGTAATTTTCTTATAATGTCTGTCTGGCTTTGGTATTAAGGTATTGCTGGTTGGGCCAGATTTATAAGTAACAAAGATATGGATAGATATGGACTGAGTAAAGAACAGTCAGGGCCTTGCATTCTTGGGATACCAGCAAGAATGTGCAGCGATGATCAGTGCACATATCATATTGCTTCTCCCTATAGGAGAATGCAGAAATAGATCCAAAAATCAACAATTGATTTTTGACCATGGCACCAAAGCTTGTAAATAAGAAAACAAAAGTTTTTTTCACCAAATGATGGTGGAACATCTGGCTATATATATAGAAAAAAAATTAATATCTGCTCACCTCAACTATACACAATAATTAATTAAAGATGGATCATAATCTAAATGTAAAAACTAGAACTATAAAGCTCTAAAGGACATCATAGGAGAATATCTTCATGACCTTAGGATAGGCAAAGATTTCTTAGAACCCAGAAAGCAATAAACAGAAAAATATTGATAAATTGGACTTTATCAAAACTAAGAAGTTAGGGCCGGCCGAGTGGCGCATTGGTAATAGCTGGCTTGGGACGCCAGAGGGCCCCGGTTCGGATCCCACATATGAGGGCCAGTGACACTGCCCTCCACAGCTAAGATGCTGAACAACAGCTCAACCTGGAGCTGGGCTGCCCTGAGTCTCCGTGCCCTGAGTCTCCGGCGACGACGTAGGCTGCAACCCCTGTGGCAGTGGGTTGCCATGGGCTACTGTATGTAGCCAGCAGCCAGTGTGAGAGGCCAGCAGCCGCAGTGAGCGGCCGTCCAGAAGCCGGCGACTGATCTGCCTCGCCCAGGAAGAGCGCAATGATGGTGCCAACTTGGGCCAGTGAAGCAACGTCCTCCACAACTAGACTGAAGAACAAAAGGACAGCAACTTGTCTGTTCCTCTTCCCCCAATTCCCCAGAGCTGTTCCCATCCCCCAATTCCCTAATAAAAATCTTTAAGAAAAAAAAAAAAAGTGTGTAGGCAAAAAAAGTGACTAGGCAAGCAAATAAAAAGAAAATGATATATATTTGACTTAGGACATGCACCTAGAATATAGAAATAATTCCTACAAGTCAATAATTTATAAACAACCCAGCAAAAAAGTGGGCAAAAGACTTGAATAGTGAATTCACAAAGGAAGATATACAAAATGCAGAAAAAAACAGAAAAAATACACCATGACTTTTCTGACAACCCAGTGGAAGGAAGACAGTGGCATTCTAAGAAACACAAAGGACCAAGGAACCCCATTATATCCTTTCTTGGTTACTTCCCTGTATTTGCCAACCACTTACACTAAAAATGATGATATAGGAGGAAATGGAAAGATAAGGATTCCTTTCAGTCCTTCTTTATTCATTGGTAAGCTGGAAGTAGAGTGTATTGGGGAAATATGTGCATATCAAGCAGTAAAATACAGTTTGTGCAGCATTTCCACTACTCTGATAAGAACAGTAAGTATATACTAGCTACAGAATATTAGTGATTCTACATATGAGTTAAATGTTCATATACTGGGGATGAAAAATGTATACAAGTGGACACTTTGGTCAACGTTGCTCAAGCAATAGTTCACCATCATCAGAAGTGTCATGATACTGGTGGTAACTACTTTGAGCACCTCTTGTAATTGCAGAAGTCAAACGTGACCTATATTCATCTTTTGATATCAGTATATATTGATTATTACAGTTTTAATAGTTTTATTCTTCCTTACAATGTGTCAACATTTTTTGGCACCCTCTGTATTTATATTTAAGACTGGTATTGCACAATATAAAGATAAATGGTAAAATTCATGCCAGTAATTAAAAATTTTAATTTTAGAATGACAACTACTTCTTTCTCATTTTTTTGTTAACAGCTTTATTGAGATATAATTTGTATAACATACAATTCACCACTTAAAATGTATAGTTTACTAGTTTTTAGAATATTCACAGAGTTGTTACAACCATCACCACTGTTTATTTTCAAAACATTTTTATCACCCCAAAAGGAAACCCCATAATCAGTAGCAGTCACCTCCCAAACCCTCTCTTCCCACAGCCCCTGGCAATTTAATCTACTAAAAATAGATTTGCCTATTCTGGACATTTCTTATAAGTGGAGTCTGACAATATGTGGTCTTTTCGTGACTGGCTTCTTTTAATTAGCATAATGGTTTTGAGGTTCATCCAGGTTGTAGCACATATCATTACTTCATTCCGTTTTTAAAACTCTGATAAAATACATAAGATTTACCATTTTAACCATTTTTAAGTGTACAATTCAGTGACATTAAGTATAATCACAATGTTTTGCAAACATCATCACTATCCATTTCCAGAACTTTTTCATCATCCATAACAGAAACTCTGTACCCATTAAAAAATAAGTCCCTATTCCATATTACCGTCAGCCCCTAGTAACCACTATTCTACTTTCTCTCTGTGTGAATTTGCCTGTTCAGAGAATCTCATTCCTTTTTACGGCTGAATAATATTCCATGGTATGTATATGCCACTTAAAAAAAATTATTCATCTGCTGATGGGACATTTGGGCTTTTCCTACCTTTTGGCTATTATGAATAATGCTGCTATGAATGCTGGTGTACAAGTGTGTGTTTGAGTCTGTACTTTTAACTCTTTTGGGTGTATACCTAGAAGTGGAATTGCTGGATCATAGGGTAATTAATTCTATATTTAACTTTATGAGGAACCACCAAGCTTTTCCAAGATGAGCACAGCATTTTACACCAGTAAGGCATGGCTATTCTAATTTCTCCATATCACCCCTATTACATTTTATAAGTAATACATTTTTTTAAAAAGCTTTATATATTAATGCTCTTAGCAGTTTTCCCCTGATTTTTGAATAATAAGCCCACTTTTTAATTTTACACTAAGCCACACAAATTATGTAGCTGGCCTTGGCTACTAGAATGATAGAAATTAAAAAGATTGACAATCAGTGTTGTCAAGGATGTGGAGAAACTGGAATTCTCATATATTGTTGATGAGAATATAAAATAGTACACCATTTTACAAACTGATCTGCCAGTTTCTATAGAATTAAATATGTATTTACCTTATGACCCAAAAGGAAGCTAAACATGTATAAGAAAGACTCTGTTATCATGACTGGAGAGAAGACTAATTTAAGAAATATTTGAGAGATAGAATCCTAATAATAGGATTGAATTCATAGATTGAATGATTATAAGAGTTGAAGGAAGGATATAGAGAGAATAGGATGTTACCACATTTTTTGTTTGGGTTTTAAGTAGATAGGTGGTGATACCCTTAATTGTGAGTAATGCACACAGAGCCATTTGGGGAGGAGAAATAATAAATTTGGTTCTGTATATATTGAATTTAGATATATTTTCCCTAGTCATTGTAGTTCATATTCTCTTTCAATCTTTTCCTCATTCACTCCCACATAGCCAGCCCACTTCCTATTTTTTTTTTCATATAAAAGAACATTGCTTAATTTCAGCCTCGCTTGTAAGCCTGCACTGTATGACCAATCAATCTCCTAACCCTCTGACTATTCCACCCAGACTCTGACCGTGATTCCAGCTACATGCTTTGGACTGCTGGTTCTCATGAAGTCATGGGACATGTAAACATTCAAATATGTTTCTTGCCTTGATTTTTTTTATGGAAGATCCTCTAATTTAGCCATCCATATATTACAAAACAAACTTGTGTCTTTACTGTCTAAATTTTAGGCAGTAAAATTCTATATAATAATAATTGTTATTGATTTGTAGATATACAGACCAATATTAACTTAAATTTAACAAATGAGAAATGTTCTTTGACTTAGTTATGGAAAGCAGAAGCATCACAGTATACATCCCAGGAAAGAAGTTTGGAGATGATATTGATCAACAAATGACTTTTCCAGTTCAGTGCAGTTTTTGGTCTTTTGTTGATATGGATTCATCTTCAAGGAGAAATATGCAGAAAACTAACACTCTAATTGGTCAGATGGTAAGGTATATGTATATATTTTTGTTAGAATGTTGTTCAGAGAATTTAACCACAGATTTTAATGTTTTTGTTGTTTTTAATGTTCTGTTATTAACCCATTTCTATATTTACTTAGGTAGTAGAACTAAATAATGACAGTTTGAAAATTTGGGGTTTTTTTTTAGTCATACAAAGGAAATATCTGCTTACTAGAAATTATTGTTTGAATAGGTAGTGGGGGAGGCTTTAATGTGTAAGAAAATTGTCAATAAAGAGCATTTTTAAAAAATTGGTCACTATAAATTTCCATGCTATTCAGGAATCACTTAAATTAATAATTAATAATAACAACAAATAATTATTGTAATTACAGGTATATAATTTAATAGAATATTATAATATAAATATATGAATAATTTAAATAATTTATAATGATTTCCAAAGTGTTGATGAAAATGCTAGAGTTTAATGTTTGCCTTTTACATTTTTGTTTATTGTAGGATTGCAGTTTGATTCCAGCTAACCTTGTAGAGGCATTTGGATTATTGATTAACTGTAATGAATCATCTCCTTGCCACCCATTTCTTCCTACTGTGCAACATACTTTAAAGAAAGCCATTGATCCTGAAGAGCTGCTTTATGTAGCTTCTAAACAGTTCACAACTGAAGATTTTGAAAAGGTAATGGTAGAAAAATGATTACCAAGAATACTTGTGCTAATATGGCTCAATTTAAATAGAACTCTCTGAGCATTCAATTTTCTTTATTTTGGATTGTTTTATTCCAACTTGCTTTGAGCTTTTAGACATTTTAAGGACATTGTAGAGAAAATATTTAGGATCATAATTAAATAAAAAAACTGAATAAGGACTTGGATATTAAAATGTATCATCTAAATCATCACAGCTTAAAGAATCTCAATGAAAAGAAAGCCAAAATAGAATATTTCTACAGAAAATTATGAAGAGAAGCTGTGTAGATATACAGTTATTTACATTTTGTAGACTATTCAAAGGGGTTTCTTTTATATTAATGCCTTTAGCTTTCTGACTTTAGGGAATATCTATCATGACTCACTAACTCATTTTAATTTCCTGACATGAAAACATGTGTGGCATGTTCAGAGAACCTGAGAGTAGATGATATAAATTTAGTAATGATTTTCGTAGCTGTTAAAGGTACTCAAGTATTTACAAGTGAAGCCCTTTTAAATTAACTATTTAGAAATCTGTCCATGGTAGAGATAAAGTATCTGGGTAAGATACATAAGAGGCAGGGAATATTGGGAAGTGGGAATCCATGAGTCATTATTATTACTTTTTTTTCATACCTGCCTTCTTTGTAAGCATGGGTAAAAGGTTGAAAGGTGAGGTAAACAAAAATGAATTATGAGCATTGTTTCTTCACATAGATTAGAACAGAAAAAGAACAATATTGATAATACAATAAGGTCTTTCTGTTTGTTTTAGTATATAATAAAAAAGTAATTTGTCTCTAGGAATTCATATACTAAATATGTAGATACACTAATGAACCAGAGAAATTTTCACCTAGTTTTTCCCAGAAAAACAAACAAAAACCTGTGGGTTTATTAATTAGTCAGGCATTTACTGAATAATTATATATATGAGCCTATTTCTATTGTTTTATGTTCTCACAGAAACATAAATTTTCTTCTTTAAATAGTTTGTCATTTAACTGAGATAAAAACATAATACATGAAATAATTAAGGGACAATTTAAGTGCTAAACTGGGTGACACTGACTGTAAGTATTTTAGGATTCAGAAAGGAAGATAGCAAGTATTGGGTTGTCGGAAAAGTCATGGCGCATTTTTGCAATGAAAAACACAGAAAAAACACATGACTTTTCCAACAACCCAATAGAATGCAGGAATTGGGAAGATTTCATAGATGAGATGAGACTTTGGTTGGGACTTAAGGAAAGGTAAGAGTTAGATGACAGGAAGGATGGGCATGCTAAACAGAAACAAAAATAAAAGCAAAGGCGTAAGAGTAGAAATGAGTTTACATGGAAACTATAAGAAGACCTGACAGGAGCAAAAACTGTATGATGGCGTCATCAGAATTAGGATCTGCAAAATATACAGTAAGCCTTGAAGCTCAGGCAAAAGAGTTTATAGTTGATTTGTCAGACTAGAGAGAACAGTTGTGGACTTTACTAGGCTAGTGTAATAGTGAAAATGATATCTGCAAAAGATATATCTGTCTGTCAAACAAAACACATTTGAAGAAGTATGTTGCAGCCTGGAGCTTACTGTGCCATTGCTTATTAGGGAGCGCTCTTCTATCCATACCTGTAGAAGGGAAAAGAAAGTGGGACCAGACAGAGGAAGGAGTCGAGCTGCGATGTAGGTCCAAAGATAGCTTTGCAGGCCCCACAATGTGCCCTGGAGCTAAAGAGACCCATGGAGTTCTCCTGCTTTGAACAGAAATAGAGGGGCTTTAAAACACTCTCCCCACCTCCACCTCAGGCAGTCGTTTGATAAGGGCTGTCCTGAGGCAATCCCTGAGGAATCGACAACTGGAGGCCAGTGCGGACACCACTCCCAGTAGCTGGGGCAACAGTCCTTTCCTGAAGGGGATATAGGTGCCCCATCACTATGCCTCCATAAAGTAAAACCTGGAGAGGACTACTGATGTAATTAATAGCATTATCATCCAGTTCTCAAGGCCTGGAGGGAACTGTGGAGAGTAAGGACAATAAAGAAGACAGGACATATCCAACCCAGGATGTATCCAGATCCTTTAACAAAAAGTTATATTTAAAATATTAATGTTATAGTTAATAGCAACCTTATTATGGTTGATTTTTCGTTTTGGTTTTATGAGTTTTAAAAGCTGGAAACAACTAGGATGGTGACAAGTCTGGAAATGATGTCATTAAATAAGGACTTGAGGAACTGGAAATTACTCAGAAAGAAAAACACAAAATTCAGGAAAAGAAACAGTGATAATCATTATGCTGAAGACTTATTTTCTCCCCAAACCTTACTGAATCTCCAAGGCCCACATCCATAGTAGCTAACACAGTGCCTCCCACATTGCTAGTATTTAGTTCTGTTCTTTAAAAGGAAGAAAGGGAGGAAAGGAGGACAAGCTCTAGAGCCAGTGAGGGAAAGTTATGAGGAAATAAACTGTCAAAGAATTAAAGCTATTCAAAAGGAAAAGAGCTCCGAGGAAAGCCTTTCTCTTCCACTGAAAGGCTCTGAGCGAGTCTTTATTCCACTGGAAGCAAAGCCTTGATAGTTATTCCAATATATTTCACAGAACATTTCTGCACCAAGAGGGGAAAGAAATTATTAGGGGTAAACTTTTAATATTTTTACAAGCATAAGACTGATTTAAAATGTTCAGTGACCTTGAGGTGGCTACAGATACGTAATCAATTTTGATATAAATAAAATAGGCAAACTTAAAAATAAAATGACAATATACTTTGGATTTTTATAATGTAGATTCTATAATAAAGTTTGAATCGCTTCAATTTTTCACACTTTTATTTTAGCTGCTGGCTTTTGCAAAGAATTTGAATGTAGAATTCAGCTTGGAGGCAGAAAGAATAATTCATGGCTATTATCTAGCAAGTCGCAGAATCAGAACAGATTCTGTATGTGGATCAAAATTGTCAGCATCTGCATTAAAATATTTGTAGGTATTCAATGTAAAAATTTAAAGCCGGTATGAACTTTTAAATGATATGTTTAATTAACTTACTTATCTGTTTCATTTATTTCTTTGATTGCTGGTTGGTTGGTTTAGAATTTACCTTGTTCCAAAATAATTTAAGGTGACTTAACAACTATTTTTGTTATATTGTTACATCATTTGAAACTGCAATGATTTGTTTTCACTAAATTAATTTTTTTTGGACCTTCTGTATAAGATGTATCTGAGAAAATTGCACTGATTTCAAATGTAAATGATTGGGGTTTTTTTAATGTGGCTGTTTACATTTGTGGGGAGGAAGAAATTCTCCTTTATCCTTTTTGGTTTTTCTGGCTGGTCTAATCATTAAGATGATGTAAAACAGATTAACAAGAGAAAATAACCAATTTAATTACATGTGTATATATGGGAACCCCACATACATGAGAGAGTCGGAGACCCCACCTACATAAGAGGTTCAGGGACGGAAAGTTAAAATGGGTATGTGTGGGATTCTGAGCTAAGAAAGAGGTAAGGTGCCTTGGAGCTTCAGAGGGTGGAAGGTCATTCACAGGACAGTAAGAAGAGCAGATGTTCAGTAATTAGATGTTTGCCCTGTCCTATAAATAGGTCATAAAAAGTTATCCCCGGTAAGAACTCTTATTATGGGCCAGGCCCCAAATTTAAATTCTTTAAGAGAGAGGTAGAGGTTTCTTGTGAGCTCGCAGGGTCTCAACTGCCTTCAGCTCAAAATAATCCAACATGCCAAAATAGTGTATCTTGGGGAGGCCTGTTCTGAATCCCTTCACATTCCAGGTATTTTGTAAGGAAACTAGAAAAAATTCTTCTTAAATACAGTCTTCCTTATACTTGTAAATAACTTTAATAGACTCATCTATTATTGTTCCTTGAAAGGTATTTTTAATTTTTTTTTTTCAAAAATTTTTTTTTCAGCTGAGCCATCATCCTGCCACCTGTTGGCAGCTCAGAGGCAGCTCAGCTTCAGCCGGGCATCGAACTGCTGTTGCTCAGAGCTCAAACTCTTGCGCGAGCTCTTAACCAACTGAGCCACTCGGCCGGCCTGAAAAGTATTTTTAAAAACTAATTTTTATTATCAAAGTGAAGTGTGGACATAATAAAAGAGAAGTCTAAAATAATGAGTAAAGTGTCCTCATAACCCTACCCATTTCTATCCCATTCCCATCACTGTTAACAGTTTTTGTGTATCCTTCCAGAAATTATCCATTCAAATACTAGCATATACAAATATGTAATTTAAATATATTATATATAGGACTCATTCATTTGAATGCTATATATTTAGATGGATGTTATTTAAACATTATATAAATATATATTATAATGTATAAATATATATTCATATAGATAGATATTCTCTTTTTGCCCAAATGGAATCATGCATGGTATACTTATTACACTATCACACTATCAGCACATGAAGAATTACCTCATTCTGTTCTAATAGCTGCACTACAGTTTTATTGTGTTATGATGTCACTATACCATGACAGAGCCCCCTACTGATAGACCATTACTTCATTTGACATAGACTAATGTATACTCTCAAACAAATTATAAAGTAGGACCAGGAGTAAAGTAATCCATTAAATAAATAAATATCTTCTTATAACTGCAATATATTATAAAATAAGACAAGTGAATGACTGGAAGGAAATGTCAAGTATAGGTCTATAAGAAATAAATATGTTTAGTTAATTTCTCAACTGTATATTTATCTTCATAGAGCTGAAAAAAATGCTAAAGGTAATATAAGGTAGAATCAACTGTGATGTTTTACCATGGTAAATAGAATTGTATAATGCTTTCCATTTTCTGAAGTAATATTTAAAATACTCAAATCAATACTCAAAGCTTAAAAGCTTTGAAAGTCCTATTTTCTCATAATGTTTTTTGCTGTAGTAAAAAGATATTTTTATTTAAACTCACATAGCCTCAGTTTACATTTGACTATATTGATCAAAAAATAAAGCAGAGTTAAGTTTAATATGTTAACTCTACTTTTTCCCATTGTAGAAATAAACATTAGAGGTGCAGATGGGGTTTATGAAATAGCAAAGTAAATGAACCCCTACTCAGAAGAGTCATAAACCTTGAATTTCTCCCCTATTTCTATAGATCCTACCTAATAACACCATGCCTGCTTTGCTAAAGAAGTGGAGCTGAACAACACTCTCTTTTCTTTTCCTGAAAGGCTAAATACATATTTTGTCCTGGTCAACATTTTTAGAAGGAGGATGGGTGAGACATCAGGAACATGATAATCAAATTTGTAAATAACTCTGGAGAGATCATCACAAGTTCAAATGATGATCTTAATCTAACAAGATTAACAGGATAAATGTAATATTCTCAATTAGGTCCCAAGCTTCCGAGTACAAGCATGAATGGATGGGAAAGGGTGATGTGGCTTAATATGAAAAAAACTTGCGATTTCATTCTTTTTATGCTTAATATGAGTAAACAATATAACGTTGTTAATGATACTGTGATTTGGGGTTGCATTAATAGAATATAGTATCACAAGTAGAAAATGCTAGTTCTGTCTCTACTCTGCTGGTCAAATCTCACCTGTAGTACTGTAACTGACAAAGAATATTAACCAAATCTGGTCTCCAGGAGAGTAGCTAGGATGATGAGGGGCCTGAACATTATGTCTTATGACATATTAAAGGAAATAGGAATATTTATCTTGGAGAAAAGAAAACATGGGGCAACTAGAAAAGATGTCTTTGAATATTTGAAGAGCTGTCACATTTCAAAAGTATTAAGCTTGTTCTGTAATCTCAGAAGATAGAACTAGGGACCAGTGGGTGGAAGTTGCAGTGAAACCAATTTATATAATCTTTTTGAGTGAGTACCAAAATTTTCAGTTGCCTTATTTGAAATCACAGAAATCCTGTGAATTATTATTATCCCCATCTTATAACTGAGCTTCAAAAATATCTCAAAAATTAAATAATGTATACAAAGTCACACAGCTAGCGAATTCTAGACAACCTCGTTTTTCTGACTCCCAAGTCCAGCAATCATTCAAGTACATTACATATGCCTAAGGGAGATTTTTCAGGTAATCAAAGGCAGTTTAAAAAAATAAAGGAGTGGTTTGTTTCATGATTCCTAGTGAATCCTAAGAAAAGTTCAAAAGAGACTAGACAATAATTAGCCTGGGATGTTGTAGAGAAAATTCAGTTACCTGATGGGAGTTTGAATTTTGATCTGAAAGATCTCTTCTAACACTGAAATTTGAAGATTCTGTGAGGACTTCAGATGAAGAACTGGAAGAAAATACCAAGGATGTGTCTATAAGAGACACTTTGTTAGGTTAATTTTCCCAGCTGTGTATTTATCTGAACAGAACTCGAGTAGGGAGGGTATAGAATAATAAAGATAAGCCAGGGTGGAAACGAACACTTTGATAATAAGGCAGTATACTTGCTTGCTCTGGAAAAGTTTCATTTGGTAGGGAAAAAATGCTTTGAAAAGAAACAAAAATTTTTTTTGAAAGTTAAGACTATACTGATCTTTAAGGTATGGCTTATATTTGCATATGTCTTGGTTTGTTCCTGCCAAAATATATTATCTTTATAATATCAACATATTTTGATTGGTATCAATTTTCTTTTTTAGAGTTTCCCTATCTGAAGCCCATGCTCGACTGAGCTTAAGGAATAAAGTTATTAAAGAAGATGCACTAATTGCAGCCTTATTATTTGAAACATCTCTCACATTGAAATATGGTAATCTTTTAAATTATTCATGACTACAAATAATTATATTCAAACATAAATATTTTTAGTCTGTTAAATTGTTATATGTATTTTAAATATTATTTTCAAGAACAATAAATTTCTATCAGTTAAGGCCTGTTTTAATTTGAACATTTACTAATTATTTATAGTATTATCGTCTGATATTCCTTATTGTGCATGATTATTTCTATATGCAAACTTTTGCAATTTAAAGATTATTCTAGAAAAAAAACTACTTAATACATGAAATGATTTTAAATTTATCTTCCTCTTAAAATAACATGCAGCATTTAATTGTCATTCAGTCCCCCCGAGTGGAGTTAGGTGCAGAGCCAAAGAAAATATGGTCATCTTGCATGACCACCTTCTCCAAATTGCTTGTTATAATATTATGACTATAACATTTAATTATTTGAAATGAATGAATTTATTATGGTTTTGCTAATAAAAACATAAGAGTTCTTAATGTAAGAGTGAAGAGAGCTATTCTCACAAAGTTCTTTGATGAATTAGATGAGACATTAATTTTGATGAGATATACCATGCTTCAAAACAAACTTTAGTTCCAACCCTGGGACTTAGAGGATGTTTTAACACAGACTTTTCTGTGTGTATATATTTAGTGCTTAAATTTGCTTTAAATTCAATTTATATTGTAATAACTTTTTGCAAAGATCTGTTAGAACATTAGAACTTAGTTCTATAATTATCTAAATCAGGCTTCCTAACCTAGGATTCATGGATACCTAAGAGTCCTTAGGGGCTTGTGAATCCCTAAATTATATGTAAATTTGCACATGTATGTGCTTTATACCACTTTCCTTAGGAAGATGAATCATGACTCCTGGAAAGAAGTTAATTATCATCCTGAATTAGCTTTATTTACCAAAAGAGGAAAACCTGGTTCCCAACCAATACTAAGTAAGAGGAAGGATATATAAATATTTTTATTTTTAATTTGCTTTATCTTTACATTCTTCCTTTTTTTAGTTAAGACATATTTGATAAAATCTAATACACATTATGTACAGTAAAGAAAAAAATGCTCCAATTTTACTGTGATATGCCATCAAAATTGTTAAGTCACAACTAGGTTTCAATAAGAAGACAAAAATGGGTGTCTGAATTTAAAAACTATGGTATTATAAGTATTCCTGTGGTAGACTTTGGCTTTTTTCACTTGGTAACTATTTTGTCAAGACTTTTTTTGAAGCATTTAATAAAGGGTTTGTTGAGGAAAATAAAACTATGTGAAGGTTTTTTTTTCCTTTAGTTACTTTTTGTTTTGTAATACATTTCAGTTAGGTATATTGATTTTTAAGTCTTAAGCAAGACAATGTTAAGAGCTCCTTAAGTGTTACTTTAAATAGTGCAGGAAAATCATCCCTACTCAGGGATATTTTTCTTGTATGCAAATTAAATGAATTAGAGTTAGAAGTTGGGAAAGCTGGGAAAGGGAGGAATTAAGGAAAACTGAGGTTTCTGCCTTGAGAAACTGTCGGTGCCATTTACTAAGACTGGGAAGAAAGAGAAAAGTGGTAGGAGAAAAATCAAATTATAGATACAAGTTTGAGATGTCATACAGAGATATCAGTAGGTAGATATAAGAATCTGGAGTCTAGAAGAGAGTTCTAACCTAGAAATAGAATTTAGGAATCATCAGCACAGAGATGCCCAAAGCCACAGAATGGATGAAATCATCTAGAGACTATACAGAGAACTTGAGGACCGCCCTTGAGGAATTTTGAAATGGGGTCTAGGAGAAGGAACTAACAAAGGAGACTGAGAAGCAGCAGCTAGGATGTAGAAAGAAAATCAAGTGTAGTGTTACAGAAGCCGAGGAGGAGCGTTTCAAGGGAGCAGAGTGGTCAGCTGGATCATGTGCTGCTGAGAGTTTGAGTACAATTAGATTTGGCAGTCTAGAGAGGGAGGCGGTCATGATCAGAGCTAATTCAATGGCGCGGGGATTTGGGCGGGTTAGCAAGTGAGGATACGGAGATAGCATTCATAGACAACTTTGAGATGTTTGACTATGAACATGAGGAAAGAAATAGGGTATTAGCTGGAGAAGGATGTGTGGTCCAGGGTGGGATTTTTCTTTTTAAAATAATAGATCATATGATGGGCAATAGAGAGTAAACTAATGATACCAGAGAAAGAGGGGAAGATGAAAGGAGTGAAGTCCTTAAAAAGGTGAGAGGGGATAGGAACCAGAACGCATGTGAAGGTATTGGCCTCTAATAGAAAAGTCACTCCATTTCATAGGAGGGAAAACAATGGATACAGAATCAGGTAGGTCTGTAGATTTGGTTATATACTCTACACAAGGTCGTCAGATAAAAATGAAAGGTCTGAGAAGAATGGAATATAATTGTCACTATGGAGGACAGAAGAGCAAGTGTGCTAGAGAAACTCAGCAAGGTTGTCAGGCAGTGCAAGTGCCCATCTGAGGTTTCTGTGACTCATTTGAAGTGGAACCAAGAAATGCCAATGACATGTGATTTTCTGCCCCGCAGCCTGAGTGCAGGCACCAAGTAAATGGTTGGGTTTGTACCGAGTTGAGGTTTTGATAGGTGAGTGTGGCAGAGTGTTGCAGAGGGGCAAGGGAGTGTGTGTGTGTGTGTGTGTGGGGGGGACTATCAAGGGAGGGTCTCAAATTGGTTAAAAGAGGCAAGTGAATTGAAGGAAGCAGATTGGAGGTCTCTCAGTTAGAAGCCCCGGAAGCTGGAAGCAGAGGAGGCGCAGGACATTTGAACTCATGGCTTTGAAGTAAGCTTCTGGTAATATCAGTTTCCTGTGACCTTAAGAATATGCGGTGGAAGTAGAGGGGGAAAGGTCAGGACACAGGGAAGTCAGGAGTTACATGAGCCATTAACGTGGAAATTGCTAAATGGTAGGTATTAGGGAAGAGATGAAGATTGTGAGCCAAGGGCTGAGAGCTGGCTGTTGACTTCACTGTGGAAGGGAAAGGGTGATAAAGCCCAGGAGCCATTGGGCATCAAGGGAAAAAAGATTTTTATCGAGGAAAACGGGCAAGAATGGTCTGGAAGCATCAAAGGGGCAGCGAATAGGCACGGACTCTTGTGATAGTAAGGTATGTGCGGTATTGGAGAAAAAGCAGCTTCACTTTAGAAAGCCACAAGGAAAGCAGTGTTCGCAGGGACAGCAGGTTTCAGGTAAGGAAAAGCAGTGAAGGAAGCAGTCACGGAAGTCCGAGGCTATGAAAGTGTCTGCTAATGACAGGCAGCTCTCAGAAGGTAGGTGCTGTCTGCTTGGCTAGCAGCTGTACTCCCAGCCAGACACGTTTAGGTGCTCATTCAGTGAATCAATCCAGGAAACAGAGTTTAAGAGCTTAATTCCTACAGCAATAGTCAAAGGTTTTGATTTTTTAAATTTTGTTTATCCATTCATCCATCAGTGGACACTCAGGTTGCTTTCTACCTTTGGCTACTGTGAATAATGTTGCTATGAATATAAATGTACAAATACCCCTTTGAGACCTTGCTTTCCATTCTTTTTGGTATATACTCAGAAGGAAATTGCTGGATTATGTAGTAATTGTTTAATTATACTGTTTTCTATAAGGATTGCACTCTTTTACATCCCCACCAACAGCACACAAAGGCCCCAAGTTCTCCATATCTTTGCCAACTTATTTTGTTTTGCTTTGCTTTTGATAATAACCATCTTTATGGATGTGAGGTGGTCTCATTGTGGCTTGATTTACATTTTTCTAATATTAGTGATGTTGAGCATCTTTTCAAGTGCTTACTGGCCATTTGTATATCTTTAGAGAAATGTCTACTCAGGTGAAAAGGGTTGCCTTTTCACTCTGTTGATTGTATCTTTTGATGCACACAACTGTTATTTTGATATGGTCTAATTTATCTCTTTTATTTTGTTGCCTGTGCTTTTGGTGTTATGGCCTAAAAATCACTGCCAAGTCCAATGTCATGAAGCTTTCCCCCAGTGTTTTCTCCTAAGGGTTTTATAGTTCTAGTTCTTACATTTAGGTCTTTGATCCATTGAATTAATTTTTATATACGATGTAAGGGAAGGGGCCAATTTCATGGTTTTGCATGTGGATATTGTTTTCCCAGAACCATTTGTTGTAAAGACGGTCCTTTCCCGGTAATGGTCTTGGCACCCTTGTCAAAAATCATTTAACCATATATTTGAGGGGTTATTACCAGGCCCCTATTCTATTTGCATAGGTTGTATGTGTCGTTATGTCAGTGGTTATTGAGGTGTTCAATGATCTTTATCCTCCATCAACTTAACCTTTACCAAATGTTTCCCTACCTTTCAATACCTCCTCCCCTCTACTTCTTCCACCCCCTTACATCACTATTCAGCTTCAAAATTGTAATGACTATTTCAATAGATAGCAAATTTCTGTAGTTTCCAAACTTTAAAATTTAAACCTCAACATATTTCCATTGACCCTGGTACCAGTTTGTGCATTTACTGAAACTGTTTCCAGCTCTCTCTCAAAAAAAGTCAGAATGATTATTGAAATACTTTAATAGGTAAGAGCTTACTTTTAAAACTTTCACTAGGGTCTTTTGTTGAAAATGTGATTTCATATTTAGCATTTTAAAGAGTATTTCTCATTTATACTTCTTTCCTTCTTCACTTAGGGGCCACTGTATTTTGTGTTGCTCCAAATGCAGTATTTCCATTTGAACTGTATAATGAAGAATATTTAGAGCAAAGGGATATCTATCTGACTCAGTGCCAACAACAGCTCCTCCAGTTTATTGCCACATATGGACCCGGGACAACTATTTTCACTAGCGATGAATAGGCAATCTGCGGAAAATTTTCTTCGTTCCTATTTCAGCAGCGGAAAAGTGAGTAGATTATGAAGTACTGCCATCTTAAATATAAAATGGTCTCTTCAAATTAATTCCTAATGGAGTAAGATCAATCCAAATCTCAAAGCCAGTAGCAGTTAACTTAAAACTTAGGAGAACCCTATTAAACTCTGGTTAGCCCAGTATAACAGTAGTCAACAGATCACAATATGCATATATGTTGCAAGCTAAGTAAAAAAAAAAAAAAAAAAGTAACTTGTGTAGTTTCCTCAGTTCGTCACAAGATGGCAACAGCACTGTGAGTCCTACAAATTAAACCATTTTTTCTTGCACTTGTGAACTTGACAAATCCATGGATAACAATTTATATGACCAAAAGCCTCAAATTTAAGGACTTTTAATGCTTTAATATATTGACATTACCATTATATAAATGTTTTGGAAGCCCTAATTATAGTCAGGAAAAGCCTTGAAATTTTTTTTATAAGCGAGGTGAAACAAAAAACTTACATCAAGGACAAAATGTTCATCAAATCAAGGAGCAATAATTAGCTCTTTAAATCTAGCTGGTTACAAGGAAGGCACCAAAAGGCAAATAAACCAACTTGCAAACCCAGTCTTCACTTTTGGAGGGAAGATACTTGGCTCTGAAAAGGGATACCATGAAAAAATACTTATGAAATCTCCAAATCCTTTTTTTTCCAGAACTTTAATGATTTAAAAAGTAATCACAGAATTGCCACCTGACTAACCAAGATACTACCATGCACCGATTCTATCTAAATTGTTAGTTCAAGAAGCTTCTTAAACATGAGGTGGAGAGTTCCCTCTGCAGGACTTTGACAAGTCACAATTTCCTAGTCATTCAAGAGCATTTACTGAATTATCCAGCAGTGGACTAGTGTTTCCAGAAGGCAGATTTTAAAAAACCAAAGTACATACTATTGCATACTGTTAAGACCTTATTTTGTGGTTTCTATTGTGGAATTTCCTGGTTCTCTATGCAAAGCATTTCTATTTTATACTAGGATCCATAAAATGACCTCCATTTTACAACTGTAGTGTTATGGCTCTGATGATAAGGACTATCAAATACTGGGGGATGATGTCAGTGGTTTTCAAATGTTGCCTCCGATGCAGTGTATGTTCTTCATTTTAGTTTACCTTCCCCTATTAAAATTATAACCCTGATAAAAAGAATGTCTTCAACCAGATAGGAATTCACATAAATTCTCAAGTTCTGGACATAAGTGATTATCCAGTCTCTCTTTTCCTTGAAACAGTTATTACTTGTACTAGGACTAGCATTCCTTTTTTGTTCACAAAGGTAAAAGTAAACTAATAAAACTTGTAGGCACCAGGCAAAACCTCTATTTGTAAAGGGGCAATTCATTTATGGAGGTGGTGATTCCACCTAGTGTTCCCCCTTTAGGGGAATACTTTCCAAGACCAGTGGATGCCTGGGAAAGCACGGTCAGTAACAAACCCTACAGTTTTTCCTATACATAAACTGGGCAGAGTAAGACTTAACACTAAAATTATAATACATTGTAATAATGGTTATATGAATACAAGCATTTACCATGAGACTAGCCATCCATGTACAGCAATGGATACACTGGACAAAAAGATGGTTCGTGCTACTTAGGACAGTGCACAAAACTTATTTCTGGATTTTTTCATTTAATATTCTCAGACTATGGGTAACAAACTGTGGATGGGAGGGGAGACTACTGTACTATTTTTCAGGCCTAACAGCAGATTCTGAAGGGGAGGTCAGCATTCGCTGCAATGATTAGGGCCTCTCCAGAAATCCTCCAAGGCAAAAAAGGGCATGCTAGAAATGTCTACTCAGCTGCCTGACACCTCAGAGAATCACTATACACAAAGGAGCTAGCCATTAATGAGACTGCACTATCCCTCAAGTATGTTAAAACTAAGTCTCGCTAGCGGCTGAGAATGGAGCTGTTCAACAATTAGATGTATTTTTAAAAAGATTTTATTGCTCAGCAATTATAAATATTCAAACATGTTATTTTCTATATAATTTATTGTGATCAATGTTAAAATATTAAATTTTCATCATTTGCTCAAATTCATGCCTTCTTGACCAGTTCTTCCTTTTTCCTTCCAAATGTTACATGCCACCTCTGGAAAAAAATCAGAAACCAACAGTGAAAACCCTTCTGTACTCAAACACAAAGGAAATCATTCCACTAACACTAACAACTAACATACAAATGCAACAGGAAATGGCTTATCAGATACTTTTGAATTGTCAACATGTAGTTGCCTGATAAATCATACTTACCCTGAAGCAATGACTTTAAACCACAGCTAAGGACTTGAACATTCATCTGCAGCTACCTATATGATAAAAAAGAACATATCACTATTTTAGTAAAAATACTGAATTATAGTTCAATAATTCACATAATTTCAATATAGATTACTGGCATCTCAGTCTTAAAATTTCTTCAAAGAAACCCTCAGCTGGGTAAACGGCAAAAAGTATAAATTTAAGTCATCATTGTGCCAGTTATTAAACCTACCAAAACAAAACGTATTAAACATTTTAGGTACTGTTTTTCAAGAATATGTAAAAAACAAACAAACAAAAACACACAATTTTAACATTTTGGTACCTTGTTACAGGCAGTTGAGTTCCTAGCAGTTCAGTCATCCTGTGTTAAATTCTTGGAAAACATACATCATGACAACCTTCATTCATCTTCAACTCATAGGCCCTGTTGCACCTGGAAATCAAATATTTCATTGTGAATTTTTATTTGTACTTGTACGTATTTGCTTGTCATCTTTTACGTAGAAATGGTCCAGTAAGTTTTTTCATTCTCCTCAGGAATTATAAACAACCATACTTGCTAGCAATCTTCCTGACTCCTAACCAATTTCTTAATAAAAACATCAAGACCATATATATAATGGAGTAATTTTCTGTTAACACATTTCTAATGGACAATAAAAATGTACTTGCTGCTTAATTCTACTTGTTTTTAGTTAAAAACTGCCAACCCCAAATTTAAAATACCTACAGTGATTTGAGAATGTGTTAGTCCTTTGATTAGGCCCTAATTCCATAAGTGATCTTTCCAAGCTGGAAATGAATTCATTAGCATGTGCAGGAAAAATGGTGGATAGGTCTTTATGATGTTCCTTACTGTGGCAGTATTGATTTTAAGACATGATGGTCCTAATGAGTATCCAGCCATTGCCTTTTCTGTCTCAGAGCCTGACAAGGATGAGATATGAGCCAGGTTAAAGGTTAGAGATACAAAACCAAGTGTGCAGACCTCCAAACTAAGAGCATTACAACGGCGAATCTAATAGTTTTAGAGCAGACACACATTTTGTTGGCATCATTACTGGACATAGTCCTGTAGAATTAAGTCCCAAGCTGCCTGAAAGCACACTTAGGTAACTGCAAAGGGCATGGCCCAGGCCACCAATCATGTCCTACAGGAGGATAAATCATTGAACCAGACAGCTACTGAAAATGATTTATGAAGACATCAAAAATGTTGGGCCTTGCAAAACAATTTATCATTTTCAAGTCTTGAAATATTTCACATAATCAATATTAGAAACAGACTGTTATGAATAATTCCAACTTGGAAAATTTCAGTTTAATATGATTAATGGGAAATACTGAGAATTGCATGCACAATCCCATTTGTGTTAAAGCCTAAAACTAGGAAAAAAATATTTAGGGATACATATGTATAATAAAATTGTTATCCATCCCACTCCCCTCAAAAAACCAAGAGACTGGACACAAAATCCAGGTTGGCACCTCAGATGGAAGGCAAGGGAAGCAAACCGACACTATGCTATTGGTATTATTATCCCAGCTATTAAACGGATTGGTATTTATTATCCTGCAGTACTTACAAGCAGTATCAATATATTTATCAAACATTTAGTTTGTACATAGGATTCAAGCCACTTAGGTCTCAAAACTAAGGATTTTAATACCAAATATAAACTACTTTAAGCCATCGTATTTGCCCTGTTAAGATTGTTTTGGATGAACCAATGTAATTCAAACTTAGGGAGAGAAAAAACCCAGACTATTACTAAGTCTCATCGAATATTCATTTATAACGTTTTTTAATAGGTAACACGTTCTTCTGGTCCACCAGCTGTTGACCAGTTCGTTTTATGTCCAAAAATACACGTTTCCATGTAAACACCAAGCACCTGAGAGTGTATACAGCAGGAGTTCACGGCCTAAGGGCCTCTGAACAGGACACATCGTCTTCCAACTGCAATACCGCGTCTTTAGGGCCCATTTACAAAGCAAGATCCAGAACAAATGCCGACACGAGTTCTACTTTGCCGAGGCCAAAACTGTTAGTCAAGCGCGGTTAACAATTTTAAAATTAAACACAAAATACAGTTAAGGCTGTCTTAAAATCTGAGAATCCCTTCCCAATTTATAAAATGCTCCCTTACCAAGGACGAGTCGCCCATTTAAAGGACCCGTCACCCTACAGGCCGCGGGGGGTGGAGCACGAGGCCACCGTCCGCCCTTCCAGCCGCCGCGGAACGAACCTTATCAGAGGCCCTTCGTTCGTTTCTGAGCTGAGAACAGTCGAAACCGACGTTTACTCAGGGCCAGCTAACACTCGCAGGTGGTGACTCACAAAATGCGACTGAGCTGATGGCGCGGAGAAAGCCGCACCGACCGGGGGGGGGGGGGGGGGGAGGAAGGCTGCGGCCGGGAAAATGGACGGAGGCCACCGGATCGAAGGCCTCGGGCGCGGGACCCAGAAGGCGGGGAGGGTTCCGAGGCGGGCGGGGGCTCCGGCACGGAGTCGGGTTCCCAGCAGAGAGAATGAACTAAGGCTGCGGGGACTCCCACCTTGAATAGCCCGGCGACCGGCCCCCGGGCGCTGCCGCCCAAGCCACACGGGCCGCCTGGCTGGTGGTGTCTGCATCGGCTTCTTACGTCGGTGACCAGGCGGAAAAGAAAGCCTTGAGGCCGCTGAGGGCTCTTAAGCGCTGCGGGTATGGCCCCGCCCCTTCCGGGACATGGCCCCGCCCCTGCAAGCGGAAGGAAGCAGGGGGAGCGCGGGGGAGCGCGGTGGGAGGGCGTGGCCTGGGTCCTCGCCTTCCTGGGCCTCTGGGCCCGGGTGGTATGCCAAACCTCAAGTTTATATTGGAGTGGCTTTTGGAACTTCCGTAGAGGTTTTCGAGGCTCATGAGGACCTCACCTAGAGCTAATTCACTGAGTATGTAAATGATTAATCTACCAGCTAGTTATGTATCCAAGCGAGCAAACGGTGCTCCCCATTCCGAGTATGTTGTATTTGCTTGGTCTTCTGGTCCAGTGCTTAAAGAACTGGTGGTATTGAACATCCCAGTTTAGAGTAAGGGTATCTGGTATTGACCCCTTCACACATACAGAAGAATCAGTTACCATAAAAAAAAAACCTTATTTTTTCCCTGTGTTACACTGACAGCTACTGTTAGTATTTTATTAATAGTAGTTGAGGGTTAAAAAAAGCATTCGTAAAGCAGTCACCTGACTTGTTTATGACCATGGAATTTGCTGTTGATTTTCGTGCTTTGTGTTTTACAGGCAATACCTTGCTTTATTGTGCTTTGCTTTATTGCGGGCATCAGATGTGTTTTTTACAAAAGGAAGGCAAGACCCTCCACCAGCAAAAAGAGTAGGAGTGACTTTATTGCATTGGTCTGGAACCCAATTCGCAATACCTCTGAGGTATGGCTGTATTACTGCTGTTTCTCTCTATTATTATATATTGCGTCCTCGCTGCAAAGCATGAGGCTTAGTGCTGCAGAAGACAGGTTGATGATCTTGTTGCCAGAAAGAATACATATGAAAGCATATAATTAAACAGTTGCATCAATAAAAGACACATCATCTCTCCTTTAAAAATTGGACGGCTAAGAAAATCTAGTACAAAATATACGAGTATGCCTTAAAGAAACCTGGTATGAAAATCTAAACCTAGCAATACAAATTGTGATTCTACTCACTTTACCAAAGGATTCCTCTGTATATAAAGTTTTTGCTGAATGCTTTATAGGGGTTTAAAATTCTTTGAGGCCCCCAGTGGACGCTGTTTCTTCTGTCAAGTAGTGGCTTAAGCCTCAGCCTCCCATCACAGACTCCTGGGTGAATATTAGTTTTACAACCTAATTTGGCAGCTTGGGCAGCCACCCCCACCAGACCTTTGCCTACAACTGGGTGGGCAGGTGTGGGAGCCTCCATTACTGAAAGGTGTAGAGGAGGGTTAGAAAATTAGTTCTCATTTCCTTAAATGGAATCATACAGCACTTACTGTTTTTGGTCTGGCTTCTTTCACTCAGCATAATTGTTTTGAGATTCATCCATGTTGTTGTGTGTAACAACAGTTAATTCTTTTTTACTGCTGAATAGTATTCCCATATAGGAATATACTACAATTCGTTTATCCATTGATCCATTGATGGATATTTGGATTGTTTTCAGTGCTCCGCTTTTACAAATAAAGCTGCTATGAATATTCATACATAAGTCTTTGTATGGACATGTGCTTTTATTTCTCTTGGTAAACACCCAAGAAAGGAATGGCATGGTAGGTGTATGTTTAACTTGTAAGAAACTGCCAAACTGTTTTCCAAAGTGAATGTACCCTTTTATTCAGCAGTGCTTGAATGTTCCAGCCATTTCACCTTCTTGCCAATACTTTGTATGGTCAATCCTTTGTAAATTTTAGACATTCAAATAGGCGTGTGGTAGTATTTCATTGTGCTTTTAATTTGCCTTTTGCTAAAGGATAATGAACATCTTTTTACATGCTTATTTGTTATCTGAATATCTTCTTTGATGATATTCTATTCAAATCTTTTGCCCATTTAAGAAATTGAGTTGTTAGTGTTCTTAAAATTGAATTTTGAGGGTTCTTTATATACCTGGGATACAGATTCTTCATCAGATTACATTTGCAAATATTTTCTCCCAGTCTGTATTTTTTCTTTTTTCTTTTAACAGTGTCATTCAAAGAGAAGTTCTTCATTTTGATGAAATCCAATTTGTCAGGTTTTTTTTTCTTATATGTATTTGACTTTGGGTGTTATGTCTGAGAAACTACTTAACTCAAACTTATGGAAAATCGTTTTTCTTCCCTAACCATAGACCTATTCAGTTATCTATCTGAAGAATAAATATGTCCTTTTCAGGGTCATAAAACATTCAACTAGGGTCATCAAATGACTGTTTCTATCAAAGATGCACTTTGAATCCCTCACTATCTATGTCTATATGGATTATGTCTAAATTTTGTCCAAATTCAGTAAGCCCCCTTAACATTGAAAGAGTCATCCTAAACTAGGCCCTCAAAAACCTCATAACTATCCTGCCTTTGCCCTCCCCATTCTGAGATGCTATTAACACTATATCAGGTATAGCATATTAACAAATTCCTGTAATCTTAATAATCATTTTTGTATTTTTTAAAACTAAGCACAATGAAGTACTTTTTTAAATCCCTTTTGGATTATAAATGTATAGGGAGAAAGGGCCATGAGAAATTTAATGCAATAAACAAACATATGTGTATGTACACACACACACACAGAGAGACACACACACACACACTGTCAAGGCAGTGGTCCCCCTTACTTCCCTTGTCCCTCTTTCCTTTACAAGTTTTGTGATAATAAACTTGGCTTTACTTTACCAACAGGTTATTTTGTTGGTCTTTTCAGGGACTCAGCAGTCACAACAGTCAAAACAAAACAAACAAAAAAGATAATATAAAACTCATAGAAGAAAACACAGGGGAATGTCTTCATCATATTGATTTAGCAATGATTTCTTGGGTATGACTGACACCAAGAGCACAGGCAATAAAAGAAAAAAATAGATAAATTAGACTTCACCAAAATTAAAACTTTTGCGCATCAAAAGACACTATCAAGGGGCCAGCCGAGTGGCGTGATGGTTAAGAACTGGCTTGGGGCGCCAGGGGGCCCCAGTTCGGATCCCACATATGAGGGCCAGTGACACTGCCCTCCACAGCTAAGATGCTGAACAGCTCAACCTGGAGCTGGG